GGCCGGTCACGGGCCTCTTCACAGCCTCCTCAGGGTTTTGCCTGCATTGGTCTTTCCTGAAGAAGATTCTTAGCAAACTGTTTTATTTCATGTATTTTACAAGCATGTCATCGTAGTTCAGATCGTTTAATCCATGTTATTTGCATTCTATCCTTGGGCTTTTTAGTCTCCTTTAATAACTAATTTTCCATTTGGATTTATCACACATTGCTTTGCAGAGTGTTGTTGCTCCAAGCCCATGAAGTTTTGTATTTGGAGTCATCATGTTATTCTATTGTATCTAAGTGTTCTCTTAGTTTAAACCGGTGATGGCTCTCAAACAATAAAGTATGTAAGCATGAGGCTAACATGGGCCATAAACTTCGTGAAAGAAGATGCTCCAATTTCACCCCTGAAATGCAATTGTCTAGAATGAGGGGCTGTTACTGCTGAAGCCTGCAAGGTTGAGGGCTTTACCAGATGGGCACCTTGATGGGGTCCTCGGATGGCTCCTGTCATGGATGGGAGATGCAACCTGGGGGGGGGGGCTTGCTCTGGGCCTGCAGTGCTGGGCACGGAGCGGGCCCTTTCTTCCTCTCCCCCTTGGCACCTCTGGGGCCAACCACAGCAACTGTGTGTGTGTGTGTGTGTGTGTGTGTGTGTGTGTGTGTGTGTGTAGCGGGGGGGGTGTTATTTCCACAGGGGCTGCACTGGGGACGAACCTTCAGGGAGTGATTCACACCAAATCCCAAATTTGATGCAACAGACACGACAGCCCACCTGCCATGGAGATCAAGACAAGAGGGCTCCTTCTGGAACATCTCTCCGAGTCACGTTCCGAATACTGGCAGCTGTACAATCCAAAGGTCTCCTTGGAGGTCGTGAGGGTGAACAGGGAGCTCCCATATTGAGGAGGGGTCTCTTCAGGGGTCAGCCCCACTGAGAAATGTGAGAACTCGAACCGCATCCCTGGAGTGTCCCTGGGGGCCGAGCACCGGAGGGTCACCGTCTCTCCTGGCTGATACAGAGGACCTGGAGGGTGTGCAGAGAGGCTGGGAGCCGGAGGGGCGTCTGCGAAGCAGCAAGGGAGAAAAACCGCAGTACTTAAGGACATTCTGGAGTCACATGCCCCTCCCTGCCATTTGCTCCCTTCAGAGGCACCATCTCCCCCTCCTCAAACCCTCTGGCCTGGAAAGCACTTGACCCTCCTGGGGGTTGCATGCAAACAAGCCTGGAGGACGGGGAAGGGGAGAGATCTGGATTCTGATTCGATTCTTTCTGTTTCTGTTATTATTATGCCATTCCATTCCTATACTGCCCGTTGCCCAAGCTCTCTGGGCAGCTCACAACCTTCCTGCAGGCCCTTCTGCTCCTCCTTTCTCTCTCTGTGACTTTCCCAGGAATTGCCCATCAGCGCAGGATTCCGTCCAGCTTAGCTACACTGGGAAAGGCGTGTCGTGGTCGCGGTCCTGACCAGCGGATCCAGCAGGGACATGCCTGCTCTCCATCCTCCGTGAATGTGCTGTGATTTTGCATCATTTGGGTTTGCGCCTTTCCCTCCTCTTCCTCCCCACACTGGTTCCTGGGGCCTCCCACACAAGGTGTCTTATTCTGATTGGGCCTGGCTGATGGCTCCCACCAGGAGGAGTGCGCATGAGGCCCTTGAATGCTCCGGGGGGCCAGACTCCCCTCCCCTCCCCTCGCCTCCCCTCCCCTGCCCTCCCTCTGGATTCCCATGCCAAGACCAGGCATGCAGTGAAGGAGAGATTGTTGCAATCTCAAGTCAAGAGCCCAGAAGCATCGGGACAATGCAATTCTTTTCAATGACGAATCCCGTGTTCCAGGGAACAAGGCGTGGGCACCCACAGCCAGCCTGTAACCTGCCCCCGCCGGCCCTCGGTGCTCCCGCATCCCCCCACACAACTCAAACCAAGAGGATTTCGAGGCGGAGGCCACGTCTGCCCTGCAAGGCCACGTTTGCATTTGGGGTGTGAGCAGGACCCAAAAGCCCCATGATTCAAAGGCAGGCACACAGAACCCCTGTCCCCACGTGTCTGCAAAATTTGGGCTATTAATATATTCTGGCCTTCTTTGGAAGAGCCGACCCAAAAGGGAGCGTATCAGCAATGAAAGAAAATAGACTCTCAGGTTCTCCAACTATTCTGCACTACTTTGCTCC